GTATCCATTAGGAAGATTTCCCTTTTTTTTTTTTTGTTCTTTTTTCTTTTTTTTTTACATTGCTGGAATTTGAAGGGTAATTTTGGACTCCGGAAAAAGAGATAGAAGGTTCTAGAAGCGTTCTTTAAATTAAATAGGGCCGCTTCCTGATCTTCTCAATTTAATCTTCAAAAGATTGGAATGAGAGCTTTGAAAGTACATATTTGAACAAGATTGGAAAAGTTGTTCCAATTTAAATCTTAATTTTGGAAAGGTGTTTCTCAAATCTAATGATTTGTAGTCTTTGAACCATTAAAGGTTGGCTTCACAGCCGTACTTCCACATCACTCATTACTTCTTTTTTTTTTTTTTTGGGTGAGTTAGTGTCAGAGAAAGCCCCCTATCCGAATTTTCATTAATATTATTTTATAACTTTATAATAGAGCAATTGCGTTAAATCATGTAATAATGAAAGATAAAAAAAATCTGGGAGACGACTGCACCAAATTGTTGTACTTGCAAAAGCCGATGCCCTCTTAGCTAGACCATAAGCTACCGTATTCGTCTCGCAAAAAACCTGAACAATAGACTACATATGATGTGAAACCCTTGAATCATTTTCTATTTGTATCAGGAAACAGCCTATCTAGATAACTAAGAGAATATCTTCCTCAAGAGCCTGAAATTCTGCATAATTATTAGAAGCAACTCCAAAATGTTTAGTGAACGCTACCACAAATCCACCATTGTTATCTTTTATGACCCCATCCCCTCCTGCGAAACCAAGATTGTACAACAATGCACCATCAATATTCAACTTATAATATTGATCCTCACGAAATAGCCATATAACTGGGACCAAGGATTTTGGCTTTTGCTTATTTACGAGTTGGTAACCATGGCCCCTCGGTAGTTATGCAACATGGTCTTTCACCAAAGGTATTTTCAAGGCTAATCCTTCATGTCGCTTCCGGGGTTATCCTTTTAGCTCGTCGTGGTTTCAGACAGTATAGGAAAAAATCGAATCGGAACGGTTAACTGGACATTGGGCCAGAAGCAATTGGCCTAACTGGTAAACTAGCCGATTCAACCGGCCTAACCAGACAAGTCCTAGGAGGTCAAAAAAGTATTAAAAAATAAAAAAAATAGAAAAAGATTTAATATAGCATGATAAATATATTTAATACATGATTAAACAAAACACATCCAAATGAAGTTAAAAATTAATGAAAAATGAATTTCAAATAATTAATTTGTGCCTAAGGATATTTTTAAAATTTTCTAAAAAATAGGAAAAATATAAAAATAAGTAATAATGGCTAAAAAAATTTCAATATTTGACAAAATGATTAAAAACATTAAAAAAATACATTACAAACAAAATCCCTATTTTTTGAGATTTTATATAATTTGGTTTGAATTTTTTTTAAATGTACCTGTAGGTTCACCAAAAGCGGCCGAAACTGAAACCGGCTCCGATCTAATTGGGCGGCTCCGATCTAATTTGGCGGTTCCGATATGAACCTTCCAAATTTTCCTACACTGGTTTTAGAAATGGTTTTCTATAACAAAAGAATTGATAAAACTGATGTTTCTTTTAATCGAGTTGACATGAAGCAACTTGTGATGAACTAGGACAAGCTATAGAGTGATACAAGGTGATTCTTATCACGTTGAGGTTTGTATAAGGTTTCAACCTTGTACCATTGTGGTAAGGTGCACCACAAAACTATGCCGCAAATGTATTTTCAGTGCCGCAAACCCTTGCGATGATGTAAAAATTTGTTGTTTCCCCAATTATAAAATTTGAAGTTCCAGGAATGGTGAAAATCAAGCAGGTATATAAATACTTGGAAATCTTGAAAATAGGTGGTCCAAATAATGTGTTAGAAGATGATGTATTTTTAGAACTAGGAATCCGCTTTTTTTTCGTGCCGATGAATCTCGAGATCGAGATAATCATAATTTGACGGTTTTCCAGCATCAAAACAACCTTTTGTAATGGGGTTTTTAAGTGCACCTTATTGGTACAGTATAAGGCTGACACCTTATATAAATTTTTTCATTCTTATAATGCTATCACGTCACGTGGGCGAAAGGGGAGATGAAACCACCTTGGAGATTAAGGATTCATTGTATTTGATGAAGTCCACTCTCTCGTACTTCTTTGCTCATGTGAGCTTTTCACATTGTAACAGAGGTTAATTTTGAGGCTGATGGGTGGTGTTCACCGATCATTGTTGGTGATTGTATTGTCTCTATATTTCTTTGTCTTGTAATGAAATTCGTCATTAATATTAATAAAAATTAACAATCTAGCCCAGGAGGTAGAATTAACGTCTTCATATGGGCTAAGTTTATTTCCGTCTAGAAGGAGAGCGATCCAAAGTGCCATTGGTTGCTTGCTTGCTTAGGCGTTAACATTGGTCCGACCATCCTTTTTGAAATGGGTCACGTTTATATAAGGTGTCATCCTCGTATTATTGAAGTAAGGTGCGCCTCAGTAAGGTGCGCCTCAAAGCTATGCCGAAAATACAGTTTTAGTGCAACAAAGCGTTGCAATGATACCAAAATGGATTTTTTTTTTCCCTTAATTATGAACTTTAAAGTTTCAAAAATGGTTACGATCAACAGATCTATAAATATTTAAAAACTTTAAAAATAGACGGTCCAGATAATGAGATAGAAGATGAACTATTTTTAATACTAGAATCCCTTTTCTTTCACGGCTATGAATATCAAAGTTGGTATGCTCGTTTTGAGGTTTCCCGGCATAAGAACAACCTTCACTAGTGGATTTTCCTATGTGCACCTTACTTGTACATTAAAACTTTATTTAAACTTTATTTTTCGCACGAGCATCCCATGGGGAGTACTTCATAGAGGTTTGTATAGGGGTGAGATCAGATCGGATCAGGGCCGGATCTGACCAGGTTAGGATCCAGATCCAAATAGTATGCATCGATCGGATCTGAGTTCAAACCGGATCCTAAATATTTGGATCCATATCTGAATAGTTTACATTAGATTCGGATCCAAAATTAGATCCAAATGGTATACATCAGATGCGGATCCGAATTATATATATGTTATTTTTAAAAAAAAATTACATATATAAAATAAAAATTTACCATTAAAAAAACGGGTTGGATCTGGATTTGGATTCTTTGGGATTCTGATATGATTCGGATAGGATCCACCTACACCAGGATCCAATCTAGATTTCAATTCAGATCTGACTTTTGGATCTGGATCTAAATTTAAGATCCAAATTTTGGATCCATAACCGGATCCATATCATCTGGAACCTGAGTTGTAGATCAGGTCAGGATAGGGTCAATTCTCACCCTAGGTTTGTATGTTGGCTTTGCAGACCTGGGCGTATGAACACATAGCCAACATGCTTTGACCTCCTGCAGTTAATGCGGTTGCTTGTGGGTGGCTTTACACAAGTAATACCTACACCAATCTCGTCCCAATAGCGCTCATGTTTGATTCTGACCGCCTCATATTCCATTGAGGGTCACATACGCACTGTCGTCGAGAGTTAAAAGACATTGCTCTTTTTTATTTCCTTCTCTTTCTCCCTCTCTCCTAAACTTTGTCTCTCTTCTAAAAACGATGAGGGTGTTCTTTCTATAACTATTTTCTCTGCATCTTCGCTCTCTATAATCTCTCTGCTTTTGCCTATCTCTCTAGCCCGAGGGAACCGAAAACCCATTTTATTCGATTTTTTTAAATAGATGTAGTTCCTCATGTGTCCTCTTTTTGCATCCCAAACACGTTGAATTTCTAATTATATATGAAGTAAATTGAAGGTTAAAAAAAAAAATCAGAAGGACCTTTTCAAATTTTTACATTCATTTATTTATGGAAAAAGTTTATATAGAGCCCAGGCTCTAACCAATCAAATAAGAGCCCACCTCAAAAATTTCATTAGAAGAGGTTGTTTTGATGCCCCAAACGTTCTCAAATTGATCATCTTGATATCAAGTTTTGGATATAGTGCATCTTGTAACGCATTCCTGATCCGTCAATTTTTAAGATTTTTATAAGTGTTATAAAAAATGGATTGCCTGCGGAGTCGTTCATTGACTTAGATGAGCCGGATGTGTGATTTTTATATGGATCAGTCGAGCCGGACTGATCCGGTAAAAACATCTTGTTTTGAAGCCAGAAAGTTTTTTAAATAAGACCACGTGTTTTGTGAAAAAGCCCTTACCGATGAATTAATATAAAACACATGATATTGATCTTTTCTTATTTCTTCAATCGTGGTTTAGATCAAAAGATTTTTGTTATGGATTGATTAGAGCAGCGAGAAAAGACCAAAATAAACCATTTTCAAAAAACCAGAGATGCAAACCAAGAAAAATTAGGGTTAATTCAGCTTGAGACAAAAAAAAGAAAATGAAAAACCCGGAATTCATGCCTTAGATTTCTTCACTTCTTGGTTCGGATCTTAAATTTTTTGACATTGATCTAGTAGAGGATCCAAAATCCAAAGGCTGCCTCTATTTTCGCACTCAAATTAATGAAAATTGCAAATCAAACATCAATAAAGGGAAAGAACCTGAAATTCATAGCCCCGATCTCTTCAATTTGGAGTTTGAATCCAAAAATCTTTCCACGCATACCTGAGAGAGGATCGAATATGAATAGAAATGCCTCTCATATCGTCGAAAATGGGATTTTGAGAGAGAAATACACAAAATTGCAGATCAGGCATCAAATGGGAAAAATGTATCGAAATTTGTACCACTAATTTGCTCGATTTAAATAATTGAAATGAGAAAAAAAATTGTCGGGTAATGCAATTCAAGACAATCAGCCATGGTTGTCACTAATTTGCCGATTCTACGAGACAATCGGCCATGGTTGTCACTAATTTGCCGATTCTACGAGACAATCAGCCATGGTTGGTCGCTAATCGCAATCCGGATTATGCAATTCAAATCAGAATTGACGTTTTTTTATACTCTGGTTTTATGTAACCCCATGACTTTTCAAAGCCAAATATGAAAAATCAGGCCAATTCCAGATTCCTCATACTATACAGGTACGCCAAATATATAGTATGTATCTCAAAAAAGATAGACGGATATAGCAATTAACTCAAAAACAAAAAAATAAAAAAACAAAAAACCAAAAAAAAAACATTGTTACAGAATGAAAGGGCAAAACTAGGCAAAACGAAACATAATCAAACAAAACTGTACACAACGGTTATCATAATCCGGCCCTCTCAGACAACAACGCTAGTGGTGACAAAGGCACTCCGCCCCCGGTGCTCCCTCCGGCCCTCGACTCGAATGACCCTTGATCCGTCGACAAAGTATACGAGTGCACATAGTCCTCATCGTACAGTCTACTGCTAGCATTATCATTATTAACCTCCCCCAACCCCAGCTCAGGCAATGGAGCATCCCCATCAAGCACCTGCACAACCTGCCTCATGCTAGGTCGTCCCTCTGGTGCTGAACTCGAACAAGCAAGTCCAAGACGTAACACTGCCTCCATCTCACCCCTATCATACATTCCCCTCAACCTCCAATCCCCCGCCATAACAATCTGCCCCTTTGCATGGCACTCCCACACCCACTCTACCAATACCATCTCATCCGGGGGGGCCTTGGCCTCGATTGGCCTTCGCCCGCAAGCCACCTCTAAAAGGAGAGCACCGTAAGCATAGACATCAGTCTTCGTGGTCGATCGCCCTGTGCGTGTGAGCTCAGGCGCAAGGTACCCAAGGGTTCCTACAACATGAGTGGTGTGCGCATTTGCCCCGTGTTCGTATAGTCGAGCTAGCCCGAAGTCACCTAGTCTGTGGTTCAACAAAGAAAGACAAAGAGGTTTTTCTCTCTCAATTTTAGCGAAATTTATAGGTAACTTTTAAACAATACCACTAACTTCAACACCACTTAGGCTCTATTATCTACAATGAAGTTGGGTGGGCACAAGCTAGTCTAGCACATCATGTGCCAAATTGACTTCATTTGATAAATGAGAGAAATATGATTTAGGGGGGGATATTTTTTGTCCTGAAATTTAATTTTTTTGGCTTATCGGATAGGTACAAAGATAAATAATATTGAAGTTATTGAAGTGATTTTAAAAGTGTCACGGCATATCCTATCCAAAACACATCCAAGCTAGCTTCAATACAGTAAATAACACAAGAAAGATTGAAAGCATACCAGAACTAGGGAAATCATAAAAGTGCTTTAATCTAAACAAGCAAAAACCAAATCATTCAGCTTGCTCATACAAAAAGAAGATGGAATTGAAAGATTCAAGACTAACCTTCCATTCATGTCAGCGTCCAACAATACATTACTCGCCTTCACGTCTCTGTGCACCACCACCTGCTCCCATTCCTCGTGCAAATACAAGAGCCCAGCTGCCACGCCTCTGATTATCTTGTAGCGCTGGGCCCATTTCAATACAGAGCCTTCTTCTGGCTCGAAGATGTATTTATCAAGGCTACCATTTCGCATGTAGTCATACACAAGCAGTAGGTCGCCCCTTCGTCTACACCACCCCTGGAAATAAAAAGTTTCGAAAATCTTTCATAACGGACGATAAAGCAGTAGAGGCCGTCATCATTATATTGTCGTGTAGCTCTTATAATTAATATATGAGCATAAAATGGAGAAAACAGATCATAGTTAAATTTGTAAAATGACACATTGCTTGGTATTTAAGAACTACGGGCATATATGGAGGGAATTTTTATTTATCAAAAAATTACTAATTTTGAATTTCTGGTGGATGTAAACTAAGTTATTTTGAAAAATTAACAGGACACCCTTCTGAAGGCTGTCATATGGACCACAATGGCACCGTTATATGGAGGTTGTTATCGTGCTTGTTACTTTCAAGGCAACGTTTTTTATATTCCATCATCGTTACTGAGTCGTTAACAGGTCCGTGCTAGCCATTGGGCATTCATGCAAGGCCTACTTTCGGGCTTGGTTCAACCTACATGCCAGTAAGGCTGGCAACGGCCAAGATATGACTGGGCTAGCCTTGGCCCTGGACCAGCTTTTGACTGCATATCATCAAAAAATAACAAATAAAATAAAATAGGGTCTTGCCAGGCCGAAGCGGGCTGGCATTGGTCCTAGCCCAGGCGGGGGCCATAGTTTGTGGCCAAGGCCCTACTTTATTTTTTACAACTGGACCGGGCCCCCAACCCACTGCAAGCCCTTCATGTCAGGGCTTGTGAGCCAAGCCCAAGCTAGGCCAAGAATTTTCGGGTTGGACCTGGGCTAGGCAGGCTCTGGTCCAGTTGGACCAAATTTTTTTAAAATATATATTATACATAAAAATAAAGAATTGTATATTATGAAACCATTTTTCTTTATTACAAAGAGGTCACAATTATTTTTAGCCTTGGATATTAAATTGGATGGCTTGAGGTGCCACGAAGTTCAAAAAAAATTTAATCCTTTTTGTTTTTTGGGTAATTCAATGGGGGACGATGAATCCCTACTCGTTTTTTAAATCATTTGTTGTTTTTAAAATGTTAGATGAGAATGAAAGCCTAGACTTGAGTTGGGGCATAAGTAGTACTATCGCTACGAAATCTTTGAGTATAATCATATAAAAGAGTGATTGTGACCTCTTTATACAAAAAATAAATTATCTTTTTTTATATGATTTTCCAAAACAAATATAGCCCACGGACTTCCGTGCTTCCTTCTTGGTGTGTCCACAATATTACAACAAACATAGGCGTGTTTTTGGGGGAACTCGAAACTCTGGCCTTCAAAAAATTCCACCAATCAAACACGCCCTAAATTTTCAACCACAAGCCGGCACAGGCCTGGCCTGTACAGTTACGGGCTATGGCTGTTCCAGCCCGGTAAATTAAGAGCCCTGCATGTAATTGCAATGTAACAGGAGGAGGAGGTTAGTTATAATATAACGGCCGTTATGACCAATGTTTCCAATGTCTGTCGAGCCATACCTGCAATTGAACCACATTGCGGTGCCTCATGCGTCCGATGCTGGCGATCTCGGCCACGAACTCGCGCAATCCCTGTTTCGATTCATGGCTAACACGCTTGACTGCAACCATGGTCTTTGAGCCCGGTAAAACTCCCCTGTAAACTTTTCCAAATCCACCAAATCCTAGCAACTCTTTGCTGCTAAAACTTCGAGTTGCCATTCGAAGCTCTTTGTAAGAGAATCTATGAGGGCCATAGGTCAACTCCCATTCTTCGATAACATCTGCTCGCTTCAATTTCCATGCTATATACAGAGAAGCTGCAATGGCAGCACAAACCAAAAGAGTTGCAGAAATTGAGACCCCAATTATGAAACCTTTGCTCCGCGCGATATTCTTTGTGTCTCGGAGAAGAGGGAGATGAGAAAGGAAAAGGGGTTGCGGCTGGCCATTCATTCTAAAAGCCCAGCCTGAGAGATAGTGGGAACTAGACAAAAGGCCAGTAGAAGAGGAGAAACCAACATACATGTAGTCTTCGAAGGCTGAAGAGAGATCAATCGTGGTCGAGATCAAGGGGATTTCAGGTTTATCAGAAGTCAAAGAAAGTGTTACGTTGAGTAGATTCGAAGGTGAATTGTATTCGATCCAGGCTTGAATTGGCTTGCCACCTTGTAAGCTCACATTTGTGGCGGTTATGGTGCCATTTCTGGCCAATTTGACAGAAGCGGGTTCAGCCACTGTTGAATTAAGGTTGTCTATATCAACCCCAACATGGTTGTCATTGATATCCCCAAACTCATAGTCTTGAACCGTGTCGAATTCAACGGCGAAGACATGGTTCGATAAGTTACCGATGGTTTGCGCATTGAAGAGGCCGAAGTATTGGCTCGGAAGAGCACCGATGAAGGACGTAGACGGAGATATTATGAAGGCCAGGCCATGGCCACCTTTAGTTGGGATAATCGGCACAATTGTGAAGACAAAGGAGGTGGAGAAAGAGGAAACAGAATTCAAATTCTTAAATCGGAGAGGTTCAGGGTAAAAGGCACGGCCGATGAGCCTCGATGTAACATTGGTTAGTTGAAGAATCCCACTTCTTTTGATCTGTGATGAGCCTGTTAAGGTTATGTTGGAGTTATGGAAGCCATTGTAGATGAAGTTTTGGGAGTAAGAGGAGGGGAGGTTCAGGGAGAGGAAGGGGAGGAGGAGAAAGCAGAGGAGCTTCAGGGTGGGTGAGGCCATGGAAAGGGATTGGAGAAGCTTAACCTGAAATTGGTTTCTGTTTTTGAGAGTTGGTGAGATAGAGAAAGAGGATTGGGATGTGATGGAAGCCGGTTTCTAAATAAACAGAGGAGGAGAGAGAAGACGCCAAAGGGGTTTTGGAGTTGCAGTGGTCAGCCATTTTTGACCAGGTATTGGTGGGGACACAGAGAAAGAGAGTGTGACTTCACATGGATGTCACTACAGTTGAGAGAGAGAAAGTGAGGCTGGGGACTTAGAGAGAAAAAGTTGACAGCTTTTACTCTCCCATTCGTCTATAAATTCCATAAAAAAGGTGTAAACTCATCGAGTTGATCAGGTGCACGATTTTGAGTGAGGATCTCGATGTTTGGGATTTTCGATTCCGTAAGCTAGGAGTTCTCAAAATCCTTATACCCCACATCAAAAATTTCGATTGAAGAGAGTGATTTGATGCTCAAATTGATAATCTCACATCAAAATGTACTGGTATGAAAAACAAAAAAATTGATTTCAAGTTTTAAAAATAGTGTATTTTTTAAGGTATTTTTTTACTGTCAATTTTCTAGAATTTTCAAATTTTCATAGATTTACTCAATCTACATTAGTTTTTAAACTTTAAATTTTATAATTAAAGATGAAAATATATTTTAAGGAAATCACAAATATTTTCAATATCGAAACCATATTTCTCGACAATATTTGAAGCTACATTTTACTTTGATTGTTTAGAGCCTCGGGTCTATACAAACCGTACCTACATCAGTGAGGCAGAAGATCACCCCTGGTCTAGGGCTAGATTGGCAGGATTGACGATTTAGATTATTCTTGAATCCTCTAGATCGATGATCCAAAAACTTTAAAATTAAATTAAATTAAATGAAAATTAAAATAGAAGTTCATATGGTAGGGATGCAATCTTTATTTTTACTTTTTCTCAATTTTTTGTATTATTTTTTTATTTGTTTGCAACCATGCCAACTCGGGGTAAACCATGCATGTGCACTCCTGACGGAGTCCACTCGCTTTCCATTAAGTCCCATTTTCTAAACACTGCTCTTCCACACTGTACGTAGAGATACAAGGAGATTTTAGGATATACAAAGATATTATTTACTTTTAGTATAAAGAGATCATAATCACTCTTTTCTATCATATTTCAAATTGGGTGTTTATAAAAATGTCATTGACTATACTCAAAGTTAAAAAAAAAAAAAAACTCGAACTATGTGACATACCCCAATACCCCAAGTCATCCAATTTGACATCTAATCACAATAATTAATTGGAACCTCCATGTAATATAGATAAAGGTGTGGTTTGCATTGTTGGATACGGTGATATCCAAAATTAACAACATAAGTAAATATCATATTATGTGGGATTGAGATTGATATTGATAAGTTTACTAAAATAAATAGATATCCCAAAAGATTACGACTCTGGGATTTATCTCTTTCTTCTTAAGATATATGTAACATTTTTAAGAAGTTTCCTATTTGATGTGGATTTCTAACCTGTATATATGGGATGCACATAATTTGTGTACTATATTTGGGTCACCATATGAGAAATGTAGCTTCCTCTAAAGAGAGAGGCAGGGGCCTCTTGTGCATGAGAAGTAAGGTCCTCTTCAGAGATAGTAGAACTTTCTATGAAGAGAAACGCCCCGATGTGCCTTCTGTAGATTGAGAGGCTGATTGTTTGTAGATAATCAGTTCCCATGAAGATTTTGGGTGGTTTTCCCTTTTAAAGAGAGAAAGTCTTGGTTGCTCTCAAGGTTCTCCTCCTGGACAGTGGTTTAAGTGTGGAATGGAGATGGTCTCTTCCTAGACAATGGTTTAGATATGGAATAGAGATGAGAGGTCGACGATGGTGCTGATCGGGAGGTTCTTCTCCTAGACAGTGGTTTAAGTGTGGAATGGAGATGGTCTCTTCCTAGACAATGGTTTAGCTGTGGAATATAGATGAAAGGTCAACGATGGTGTCAATCGAGAGACTGTGTCTAAAAGGGTTTACTCAACTGAGTTTTGTCAATGGTTAGAGCGGTAACTTTATATCCCAAATCCTGTAATGTAACTTTCGTTGGTATAATAGATTTCAGTTCATAGTGCATGTGGATGTACGCCTCTTGGGGTGAACCACTTAAATTTTTATGTTCTTGTGATGTGTGTGTTTCATGCTTTATTTCTTGTATTATGGCTCATGATTTCTCCTATTTATTTTCTAGCTAGATAAGTACATGATTTTAATAGGATTCAACTTTTGGGATTCTTGTTTCTGCATCTAAAAGAGTTTTTAAATCCTAATGAGCACAAGGTTTCAACTTTTATAAAATCCAATTAAGGCGTGCCTCCAAATTTTATCGTAAATATAATTTTGGTATCAAAAATTTTTAGGAAGGCTTAAAAATCTCTTTTGATCTCGAATTATAAAATTTTAAACTCAAAAAATGTTTCAAACCAAGGAAATGTATAAACACGTGAAAATCTTGAAAATGGACCGTCCAAATAATGTGTTGCAATATACTATTTTTGGGACTCGAAATCTTTTTTTTTTATTATTATATTCAAATATTTCAACGTTGAGATAATCAATTAGAGGGTTTTCCAACACCAAAACATCTTCTGCGATGGATTTTTGAGGCGCGCCTTAGTTCTACATTTTAAGGTTGCAACCTTATATAAACTTTTTTCCTGTAGACAAATAGACGGATAGAATACAAACCCTAGTCTTTAAGTGACAAATATTGCAATATTACATGCATGATATATGGGCATGTGGAGAAGTGTATTTAAGATGATGTATGTTACACTTTTTCTTGAGTGGGATCACTATTTCACTTTCCCTTGTCGATAGGTAGGTGCGCCTTGGTTTCCCACCCCTCTACTCTAAAAGAGAAGATACAACACGCAAATATACTAAGATTCCTAACCAATAAGGGGAAGAGTTGAAATTGGAGAGAAAGATGTTAAATAGATGAAAAATAAGGTGTATTTTGATATATTTTTTATTTTTTATTTTTATTTTCAGGGGGAGGGTAGATCGGTGGGGATTACAGGTTGTACTACCACCATGACGACCCAGCCACATTCTCTAATTTCTGAACATTATTCAATATCAAAGTAAGCACTCTCTCTCTCTCTCTTGTATATGAAGATAGTGGTAGTTGCTTAAACTATACAATTGTTCCAATACGAGTGCCACCCTCTTTTTTGAAATTTCATGGACATCAGTAGAGACAGTTTGCGACTATATTCAAACTGTCTGCTCCCTACTTTTTGTGCACACCGCTTATCGTTCTAATGTTCAAAAAACCACTAACGATTTAAAAAACTATTAGGGGCTCGTCAACCCCACCGAATTACCCAAAAAAAAAAGTTTCAAATTTGATCTGATCACCAAAAGAGAAACTTGAGCAATATTGTGAGAGACAACATTGTACAATTTATAGCAAAAGTGTTAAACAAACCAAACTCTTCATCTTAAAGTTATATAGAAGGAAAATTCACCCAAAAACAAAATCTCATTGTATTATTGAAATTTAAAATAGTTCTCTATGTAACTTTTTTTGAAGTTCAGATTATATTTCAAATTTATTTTTATATACATCAAATTATTCTCTAAATTTGGGTGTCCAAACTTCTTTCCGCCAAACATATGTAAAAATGGAAAAAGAATTGATTTAAAATATATAAAAATATCCCCAAATTTTTATGGTTGGTTGTTATATTTTATTGAATTATTTATTGCAATTATAAAAAGTGCATGAGGATAAGAAGAATGAATGGGGAGATAGTTAAAATAAATTTAAAATAAAGAGCGTTTATACTTTGGTCCTACTGGAGCAAATAGTGTACACCTATTCCATTCGACAAATTGACTAAATGAGAGATTTTTCACAATCGGAATTCTTTTGAAACTCCCTAAAAATCACTAGATATATTTTCAAAAGGGAAAATTTAAATATTGAGTATTTTTAATACTTTCACCCTGTAAAAAATTAGATAGTCTCTGGACAATTTTAAGATATTGTTTTTTTCAAGTGCAGTGTGATTCGGAAATTATTTTTGCTGTTGATAGTCCATGGTTAAATACATTACATTTCCAAATTTTGAAATCAGTGGAGTGAGTTTTATTCCGGGGAAATCTTTTGGCTCAAATAATTTTTTTTTAAAAAATATCCATACTAAGACACGTGGTCACGTGTGAATCCTAAGAAGTTTTTCCGTCAATTGCACGTCCAATTCTCTTCTTTTCAAGCCTCCGCCTTGAGTCCATTTTGCCCTTTTTTGGGTCTTTGTTTTTTTTTTTTACTTTATGGGGCGTTACAATTTTGAGCCCTAGATCGTGGCGTTAGTGCCGGAGTCTCTCGAATTTCACTTTTTAATTCTAAAATAATGGTGGCTTTTTACCCAAGGTGGTTAGACTTATAATATGATATCTTGAGTTTCATTTTTATTATAGATAAATAATCCTTTCACATATAATTTACTAAAAAAAAAAAAGGTTAGAGAAAAAATAGTAAAATGCAAGTATGTTGTTCTAATTGTTTTAGATTTACAGAGTGTCTAAAAAATCAATGGTCCTAAATAAAACAATCCAATTCAGATTTGGCGTTGGTCAGGCTGATCTGAATCCCATAAAATATTGGAAATCGGATGTTCCCCCTTGAACGGGCTAGTTCCATCTTGTCTATATTGGTTCTCTGGCAAAACCAGTGGTTATATCAAAGAACTAGTAGCTCCATTTCTTATAATTATTATTTTTTTAATCATTGAATCAGCCGATTCGATGATAAAACTGGTATAAGATAACCGGCTTGAACTGGCCCTACTTAATTTTTAAATTTTTTTTGGATCACCGATCTGCCAAACTAGATTTAAAATCAAGAGCGGCGATCCGAATCACAGATTTGTTGTTCTTTTTTAGACCTTGGATTCAAGAGAGTGACTCGATGTTTCATACGATGTGGAGTACTCATCTCTCTCTCATATTTGAATTCTTAATGTTTGGCTTCTCTTTCGTTGAGAGCTCATCAAAGAGAAGCGAATGTAAAAGGTATGGCAACGGATCTCTAGGGATGCTGCCACAAACGACACTAATTCTGGGATCATCTTCTTCTTTTTGTTTTTTTGGA